TCACTGGCTCCTATCCCTTCAATGTCAGAATTGCCCCCCTGTCGTTGTGATCACCAAAAAACAGCCTTATGAGTTTCTAACTGCCCTGAATGGAGAATCACTTAGCTGACATTTGACAGCCTGACACTACAGCCGAATCAAATCACACGAGTATATAGCCTTCCCCAGTATCATTTAGGAACCTGAGCTCAGAGTTCAATACTTTTGAAAGCTTTGACAAGGAGACAGTAAAAGAAATGTTCCTAGATTATTTTACCCCTTTGATTGAGAATATTTATATCATCCCCAACCTAACCTCTGTAGAGTTAGTTCCAGTAACAGCAATTGCTAATCACACATAGCATTTTAAAGCCAAATACAGTTGCACAGGAGACTAATTATTGTGATTCAGAGACGTTTTTATAAGCGATGTCTGTCTAAACCCTGATCCGAAGCCTGGTTTTATAAGCCTGGCCCTTGGCCCAGAATGTAGGGGTGGGAGGAACCAGAATAAAAGTCCTATGAAGGAGGCTAAAAGGAAATGAGAGGACTTGGTTTCTAAGAGAGCTCCTGCCAAGGTCTTTTAGAAGAGCATTGTTATCCCACACAAACATGGCTCAGGTCTTGGGAGTTTGAAAATACAGCTGCTGATTTGCCCCGATAGTCAGAAATACTGACATAGTAGCAAAGCTATCTATGGAAGACTTGTACCTGTCCAGGCAGAGAAAAGGCAAGTGAAATTACCAAAATATTTTACAGAACTGATACTTAGTCCTGTCTCAGAGCTAGGCCTCAGCTTATCTGGCTGTTCCTTAAAAAATTCTCCGTACCCTGATCATGACCTCAGGCTTCCCTGGGGAAGGCTAGGCCAATGGGTTTCAACGTGTTAATAGCTTTGCCCTACTGTAACCCCAGTCTCCTGGGTCATGGCCCTCAATTAAGCCTTGCCTGAGTGATTCTTCAGGTTGCAATCCCAGCCCAATTCAAACACTCCCACTCAAAACACTGATGGTGATCTGTCTGCTTTTGGTCCCTGCCTGTCTTCCCCAAACTCTTGCATAAATCTTCCAACTGCAAAGCCCTGCCTTCTAAACTTGTTTATCAAAGTGTGGTGGCCCTGATAACTTTAAAAGCTACTGATCTGACATATCCCAACATGTAAAATAGGCTAAACATTTGATAAAGCCCACGTAGAGTGTGAAGGAATAACAAGTGGCTTTATTTGGGGGTGAAGGACTGCCAAAAATAATGTATAGCCTCACTGTTGCTTTTAGTCAGGCAGAAAACACCAATGAACCAAAATAAAGAATGTGTTTAAGAAGGAAAATTTTCCAAAATCAAAGACTACAGAAAACATTATTTATACAGTAGTGGGAGCATCTATTATACAACCTTTAACTTTAATTGTTCTGATTGTTGACTTGGGATGGTAAATAAATTATTTATTGCAATCCTCTGGTCTTAGACTGTTAAGGTATGTGAATTTCTAAAAATTAGCTATCAGAAAATGAAAAGAAGTTAAATAATAATAAAACGGTAAACTGATTAAAAAATTGTATAGGGACACCTGGGTAGCTCAATTGGTTAAGCATCCAACTTCAGCACAGGTCACTATCTCAGGGTTTGTGAGTTTGAACCCCATGTCAGGTTCTGTGCTGACAGCTCAAACCTGGAGCCTCCTTCAGTTTCTATGTCTGCCTCTCTCTCTGCCCCTCCCCTACTCTTACTCTCTCTCTTTCAAAGATAAATAAACATTAAAAAATTTTTTTTAATTTATAGTTTTTCATTAAAAATGTTAATCATCCTTAAAGAAAACATAACAATCATCTCAAACAATCATATGTAATTTAGAGTTTTAAAATGTACATACTGTGCCATATTTTGAATATATTTCTTTTTTTTTTAATGTTTTATTTATTTCTAGGAGAGAGAAACAGCGTGAGCAGGGGAGGATCAGAGAGAGAGGGAGTCACAGACTGAAACAGGCTCCAGGCTCTGAGCCGGCAGTCAGCACAGAGCCCGACGCGGGGCTCGAACCCACGAACCGCGAGATCATGACCTAAGCGAAAGTCAGAAAGTCGGATGCTTAACCGACTAAGCCACCCAGGCGCCCCTGAATATATTTCTTATACTCTTTTAAAACTCCTTTATTTTAAGAAAATTAGACTATTTGTAGTTCATTTTGGGTGAACAACCAAAGACACTTGCATTTCATTAATAAACCTTAGCTGGCATATGATTCACTTGAGATTCTGACACTGAGACAATATCTGAAAGCCCAATATATGATTTATATCAAGTTTTTCCCTAACTCATGTCACACACCTCTTCCATCTCCTAGATTTAGTGTTTGGACCACCCAATTTAACGTGTATCAAAGGGTGTCATATTGACCTGTTAATTTGTCAAGTGTACAAAGAATGTCAATTTAGTAAGACTGTTCATTTTGAAGGATAACAATCATGTATTCTGATTTTCGTATATCCTATAATGTAGGCAAAAGACAAAGTCCTAGAACTAAAATAAAAGCTATTGCCGATTCAAAATTAATATCCTTAACTACTTATGAGTCTCAAATATAAACATGGCAATCCAATCACTTAAGTTGAACCGCACCTTATTACTAAATTCTCTTTCAGTTGTTCTTTGTGCAGAATATGTTGGAAGTCATCTGTGGCTTGAATAGTTAGAAATATTTTTAAGTATGGGTAGGAGAGAGGGTACCATGCTATGATGCCTGTTTGTATATATCACATTAATAAGCACATATGCTAAAGATTGATCAAGATGACTAGTTAATTTGAAGTATCTTAATCTGATTGTGTGAGGAGATTATGTAGTGGGTGGGGATGGATGTGGGGGTAGAGGATGTGGGGGATACAGTGGACAAATTGTTGCCATTGAAGTGAATCACTTGGTGGTGAATATCATTCTCTTTTATTTCCAAGTGTCCAGTGTTTCTCTAATTTAGGGTTGTCATACTTAGGTATGTCAAATTCAGACCATCCCTAATATTGCATAGGACATATTTATACTATAAATTATTCACTGTTTATCTGAAATTCAAGCGTTCCTTATTTTATCTGGCAACTCTACCTATCTCAAGGAGTCTTATAAAATCCTAAGAAAATGTATTTCATTCCTCTAATTTTTGAAACTAGGCACATGGCATATATCTGCAATTTGCCAAGAGATGACAGAAGATCGATATAAAATCAAAGGAAGGATATTGGGATATTGTTTATTTAAAAGGTTACATTTCAGAGGTCAAGGACCTTGGCTAACATGCTTGCTGTTCTATTCCTGCCCACAACTAATGTTCTAGGGAATGGAAGCTGCTAAATATTTTTTGAGTAAAAGATGGCAGATATAAATGTTTCAGTTTATTTTGAGAATGCAAACTCTTCTCTTTTATCATCAGGAATAAAAAGCTGGTTAATCCATTCCTTTTAGTCACCTCAGCTCAAATAGCTCAAATACATACAACAGGTAATGGTGAAGGTGAAGTATATAAACTGGCTGTAGCCATAACCCAGATAGCCTGGCAAGTATATAGACAAAGTGCCAATGGAATCGTTGTTTATAAGATTTCAGATACAGGTACCTTTAACAGGAATGTGTACACTTGCATTAGGAAACCACTCGACAATAGAGATTTAGGTTCACTTTGATTTTTACATATGATTTTTATGAAGAAAAAATGACTTTGTAGTCTACATAAAAGGCACTTATTAAAAAATATTCTAATTATTCTTGGTATTTCAATAAAGAGATGAGTCAAAGGCATTCCATGAGGCTAAAAGGAAGAAGAACCAGGAAACTCATTCTAAGGAGAAGGAAAGGAAACAGCAATTTCTAAAGAGGAAAAGAGAAACGAGTTTTAGGAGATGATGAAATATTCTTTAAAAATACATGGGGCACCTGGGTGGCTCAGTTGTTAAGTGTCCAACTCATGATTTTGGCTCATGTCATGATCTCATGGTAATAGGATCAAGTCCCACATGAACCCCCGCGTTGGGCTCTGTGCTGGGCATAAAGTCTGCTGCTTAAGAGTCTCTCCCTCTGCCCCTTCCTCTGTTCCTCCTCCCAGTCTCTCTCTCTTTCTCTCTCAAAGAATAAAAAATTAAATTAAATGAAACTAAAGTAGAAATATGGTGATATAACGAAGTATTATACTAGTTAGGTACATTAGGGAAAAGAAGATTGAAAGGGGGCTCTTGGCAAAGGCCAATTCGTAGCATATGTGCATCAAAATACTATAAAATAGGAGTGGATTTTCTGGCCCCAAGAATGTTTAAAATATGATTATTTTTGGCAAAAATTAATTACTATGCGTGGAGAGCCACAGCTTATTTGAAGCACAGAATTTAATCTATTATGTCAATAAGTAAAAGCTAATATAACTTAACCAACACAGTAAACAAAAACCTTATTTGTTTAAATCCAAATGAAAACACACTAAATGACTGAAATCAAGTTTAGAGATATAAAAAATGTTTTTTAAAGCAAAAACACCTGTTTTGCAGAGTTACCTTTGTCCCACTTGTTACGATAGGCCAGACCTTCTAAGTGATATGTCTGTGAGACACTTGGTAGATCTACCAATGGAAGAAAATTGAACATATATGTAAAATAAATAAAAGATGGTCATATGGAATGTGGTTGTTCTGACATGGAAGTTATATAGAATAGCTTTGTTGATCAAAATTAGATAATCCCCTTTTGGAGGTATTTTAGCACTCTAGGTTGAATACACTGTACGTTTCTTTAGACTTCTAAGAACCCTTAACATTTATGAGGCATAAATATATATACTTGCTATAAAACTTCCAGTTTTGTGGAGTACCTGAGTGGCTCAGTTGGTTGAGTGTCCGATTCTTGATCTCAGCTCAGGTCATGATCTCATGGGTTTATGGGATCATGCCCTGTGTTGGTCTCTGCACTGACAGTGCAGAGCCTGCTTGGCTCAGGTCATGATCTCATGTCTGTCTCTGCCTCTCTCCTGCTCAGGGACTCTCTCTCTTTTCTCTCTCAAAATACATAAATAATTTTCAAAGGAAATTCCACTTCTCATGTAAAAACCTATAGTAAAAATGAATGAGATTTAGTGACAATATTCATTAAATTGTTAAAAAAATTTCAATTGACTAAATTTGAAGATCTAGTTGGCTTTATTCAATGATTCATAAATTAGGTAGCAACCCATTTGCAGTAAGAAAGGAGCTCTGAGGGTCTGTACAAAATGGAGGATTTTATAAGCAGAGAGGGCAAGACAAGGTAGCTAAAAGAATGGATTATTTCAGGTAAGGTTACCTTCCTGTAGGGGAACGCAGGGGCCTTATCAAGGAGATTACCCTCACTAGTAATGATCAGAAACTTCCAGATTGACTGGTTTAAAATTCTACTCTTGGGAAAGGCTGAAAGTGCAATTAGATTAAATATTAAGTCTTGGTTGAGCTTAGCAAAAGTGACTCCATTTTGGGCCAATTGTTTCCTTCCCTTTCCTTCCCTCTCCTCCCCATCCTTGCCCTTACCCTTCCCATCCTTTCCCTTTCCTTGTTTCTTTCTGCACCAACATTTTTATAGAAAAAGAAAGAATGTTGGCCCTGGGCAGAGAGGAATCTCTGTGAGGCTCACTCTGGGTTTCTGTACTCCTTCCAGTCTCCACGCTCTGCTGGTGGACTTCTACCTGTGTCCCTACTGCTTTGGTCCCAACCCAATTGCCTTGGAATGATGTGTTTTTTCATCAGGAGACAAATTTGTGGGGACAAATGCAAAATGCACACTGACTTAAAATGAATTTGAGTCCCTTAAGTGTTAGCTTCAAGGGAGCCTTTGCATCTCCCACTCTTCAGAGCCCTGCCAGAGACTGACACTGAGCCTGAGGTTGCTGTGTGGTCCCCTTCCATGGTCTTAGTGTTTCTCCTCTGTGTGGTCATGAGTATCCATGCTACCATGTAGTTTTTGTGTTTGTGGGGTTTTTGTTTTTGTTTTCTTCATTTTGTTTTATTTTTTGTTTCAAGTTTTAATTTAAATTCTAGTTAGTTAAATATAGTGTAACATTGGTTACAGGACTAGAACTGAATGATTCATCACTTGCATATAACATCCAGTGCTCATCACAACAGATGCCCTCCTTAATACCCACTGCCCATTTAGCCCATCTCCTGCCCACCTCCCCTCCAGCAAGCCTAAGTTTTTATTCTCTATAGTTAAGAGTCTCTTCTGGTTTGCCTCTCCCTTTCTCTTATTTTCTTTTTCCCTTATGTTCATCTGTTTTGTTTCTTAAATTCTATCACATGGTATTTCTCTGACTGACTGATTTTGCTTAGCGTGATACACTCTAGTTCCATTCATGTCCTTGCAAATGGCAAGATTTCATTCTTTTGATGGCTGAGTAATATTCCACTGTGTGTGTGTGTGTGTGTGTGTGTGTGTGTGTGTGTATGACATCTTCCTTTTCCATTCATCAGTTGATGGACATTTGAGCTCCTTCCATAATTTGGCTATTATTGGTAATGCTGCTATAAACACTGAGGTGCATGTGCCCCTTCAAATCAGTAATTTTGTATCCTTCAGATAAATACCTAGTAATGCAACTGCTGGTGTGAGATAGTTCTATTTTTAACTTTTGAGGAACCTCCACCCTGTTTTCCAGAGTGGCTGCACCAGTTTGCATTCCCACCAACAGTGTAAGAGGGCTCTCCTTTCTTTACATCCTCACCGACATCTGTTGTTTCCTGCATTCAATTTAGCCATTTTGGCAGGTGTAAGGTGGTAACTCATCATAGTTTTGATATATATTCCCATGATGGTGAGTGATGTTGGGTATCTTTTCATGTGTCTGTTAGCAATTTGGATGTCTTCTTTGGAAAAATGTCTGCTCATGTTCTGCCCATTTATTAAATGGATTATTTGTTTTTTGGGTGTTGAGTTTGATAAGTTCTTTATAGATTTTGGATATTAACCCTTTATTAGATATGTCATTTACAAATATCTCTGATTCTGTAAGTCACCTTTTAGTTTTGTTGATTGTTTCCTTTGCTGTGCTGAAACTTTTAATCCTGATTAAATCCCAATAGTTCATTTTTGCTTATTTCCCTTGCCCCCAGAGACGTATCTAGTAAGAAGTCGCTGCGGCCATGGTCAAAGAGGTTGCTGTGTGGTCTCCTCTAGGATTTTGATAGTTCCTTGTCTCATATTTAGGTCTTTCATCCATTTGGAATTCATTTTTGTGTGTGGTGTAAGAGAATGGTCCAGTTTCATAATTTTGCATGCTGCTGTCCAGTTTTCCCAACACCAATTGTTGAAGAGACCGTCCTTTTTTCCATTGGATATTCTTTCCTGCTTTGTCGAAGATAAGCTGACCATATAGTTGTGGGTCCATTTCTAGCTTTTCTATTTTGTTCCATTGATCTACGTGTCTGTTTTTGTGCCAGTACCATACTGTCTTGATGAAGACAACTTTATAATACAGCTTAAAGTCTGGAATTGTGATGCCTCCAGCTTTGTTTTTCTTTTTCAAGATTACTTTGGCTAGTTAGGGTCTTTTGTGGTTTCATACAAATGTTAAGATTGTTCTAGCTCTGTGAAGAATGCTGGTGTTATTTTGACAGGGATTCCATTAAGTGTGTAGATTGCTTTGGGATGTATAGGCATTTTAGCAATATATTTTCTTCCAATCCATGAGCATGAAATATTTTTCCATTTCTTTGTGTCATCTTCAATTTCTTTTATAAGTATTCTGTAGTTCTTAGAGTACAGGTCTTTTAGCTCTTTAGTTAAGTTTATTCCTTGATATCTCAGTTTTTGGTGCAATTCTAAATGGGATCAATTCCTTGATTTCTCTTTCTGTTGCTTCATTATTGGTGTATAGAAATGTAATAGATTTTTGTACATTGATTTTGTGTCTTGCAATGTTGCTGAGTTTGTGTCAGTGTTAGCAATTTTTTGGTGAAATCTTTCTGGTTTTCTACAGAGTATCATGTTGTCTACAAAAAGTGAAAGTTGGACTTCTTCCTTGCTGATGTGGATGCCTTCTATTTCTTTTTGTTATCTGATTGCTGAGGCTAGGACTTCTAGTACTATGTTAAATAAAAATGGTGACAGTGGACATCCCTGACTTGTTAATGACTGTAGAGGAAAAGCTCTCAGTTTTTTCCCATTGAGAATGATATTAACTGTGGGTCTTTCATATATGACCATTAAGATGTTAAGGTATGTTCCATCTATCCCTAATTTGTTGAGAGTTTTAATCAAGAACGGATGCTATATTTGTCAAAAAAAATTTTTTTTGGATCTATTGACAGGATCATATGGTTCTTATCTTTTCTTTTATTAATGTGGTGTATCACACTGATTGGTTTGCAAATATTAAACCAGCCCTGCAGCCCAGGAATAAATCCCACTTGATAATGGTGAATGATTATTTTAATATATTGTTGAATTAGACTTGCTGGTATCTTGTTGAGAATTTTTGCATCCATGTTCATCAAAGATATTGGCCTGTAATTCTCCCTTTTAGTAGGATCTTTGTCTGGTTTTAGAATCAAGGTAATGCTGGCCTTAGAATGAGTTTGGAAGTTTTCTTTCCATTTCAGTTTTTTTGGGAATAGTTTGAAAAAATAGGCATTAACCCTCTTTCTCTCTTTCTTCCTTCCTCCCTTCCTTCCTTGTAGGCTTCACGCCCAGCACAGAGCCCAGTGTGGGACTTGAATTCGTGACCCTAAGATCAAGAAGACATGGGCTGAGATCCAAACGGGATGCTTAATTGACTAAGCCACCCACGTGCCCTGGTATTGGTATTAACTTTTCTTTAAATGTTTCATAGAATTCTCCTGGGAAGCCACCTGGCCCAGGAATTTGGTTTCTTGGGAGATTTTTGATTACTGACTCAATTTCTTTGCTGGTTATGAATCTGTTCATATTTTCTATTTCTTCCTGTTTCAGTTTTGGTAGTTTATATGTTTCTAAGAATTTATCCATTTCTCCCAGATTGCCCAATTTGTTGGCATATAAGTTTTCATAATATTCTCTTATAGTTGTTTGTATTTCTGTGGTGTTGGTTGTGATCTTGCCTCTTTCATTTGTGATTTTATTTATTTGGGCCCTTTCTCTTTTTAAACAAAATTTTTTTCAATATTTATTTACTTTTGAGAGAGAGAGAGAGAGAGAGAGAGAGAGAGAGACAGAGCGAGCGCACAAGTGGGGGAGAAGCAGAAAGTGGGAGACACAGAATCCAAAGCAGGCTTCAGGCTCTGAGCTGTCAGCATACAGCCTGATGTGGGGCTTGAACTCAAAAACCACGAGATCATGACCTGAGCCGAAGTCGGCCGCCTAATTGACTGAGCCACCCAGGCGTCCCTCTTTTCTTTTTGATAAGGCTGCCTAGGGGTTTTCAATTTTATCACTTATTCCAAAGAACCAGCTCCCAGTTTCATTGATCTGTTCCACTGGAGTTTTTTGTTCTATGTCATTTATTTCTGCTCTAATCTTTATTATTTTCCTTATTCTCCTGGCTTTGGCTTTATTTGTTGTTTCTTCTCTAGCACCTTTAGGTGTAAGGTTAGGTTGTCCATTTGAGACTTTTCTTGCGTCTTTAGGTAGGTCTGTATTGCTATATACTTCCCTCTTATGACTGCTTTTGCTACATCCCAAAGGTATTGGACTGGGCCTATTGTTTCTTTTTACCAAGATATTCACACCATTCTAAATGACTGTACCTGCATAATTTGTTAGAAAGTGAGATCTACAGGCTCAGTTAGCAAGTGCGAAGCAGAATATTTCAGTGTTTCTTGTGTTGTGGGATTCTAAATCCACATCTTATTTGCATGTGAAACCAAAATTTTATAGATACTCACTAAGGTTGAACAGCATTTCATTTAATACAGGGAATCATGCAATAAATACAGTTCACTAAGATAAAGGTAAAGAATAAGCAAATCCAGTAAGACCACCTTAAAATGAATTAGTAAAAAAAAAAAAATTCTCAGAAAATGAGGGAAAAAATCTTCAATGTTGAATTATCCTTAAAGCAAATTTTGTAAACATACAAAACTTAAAATTTGGTCAAGATGCACATAGGTAGTTAGAAGGTAAACCCTCTGAATATGCAGGGTGTCCTTTGCACATTTATTTTAGTTTCCTGAAACTAAATCTCTAAAAGGTGGGAAGAGCTTTCCAAATCTGTCCCTCTCTTTCTGATTCAAGTGTTCCACTCATGACTATTTTCCATGACAATGACTGTCTTTTGTGTGCTGTTCCTACCTTCATTAGAGTGTTAGATCTCCTCCCCTCCCCAGGATAAGATCATTTTTCTGAATGGCTATCTCTCTAGCCATCCACTTGAGCAGAGATATCCATAATTTATGCAATAATGACATTTGCATTTGCTTGGATCCTCTCATCAAGAAAGAGAGACCAAGTTGAATTGTGGGCTCATCATTTTCTCCATGAATCTCAGTTTACAGTAGTTCCCCCTTTATCTCTGGTTTCACTTTCCATGGTTTCAGTTACCTGTGGTCAAGCCCACCATCCAGCACTATGTGATCCTCCTTCTAACTTATCTTCAGAAAGTCAATAGTACCTCATGCTACTTCACAACATCTATATCATTCACTTCTTTCCATCTCATCACAGAGCCATTTTATCATCTCACATCATCACAAGAAGGGTGAGTACAGTACAGTACGATTTTTGAGAGAGACAACATTCACGTAACTTTTATTAGGATATAGTGTTATAATTGTTCTATTTTATTATTATTGCTGTTAATCTCTTACTGTGCCTAATTTACAGGTTAAACTTTATAATAGGTATGTATGTATAGGAAAAAATATAGTACATCTAAGTTCAGTACTATTTGCAGGTTCAGCCATCCACTGGGGGTTTGGAACATGTTGCCCACAGATAAGATGAGGAACTATTATAGTCAGTATTTTCCATGAACTAAACCCCCAGCTCTTCCCTGTGTGTGTCACATCCAGGTCTTTCCATGCACCTGCCTCAAATAAACCACGTTAGTATTTCCTGCCAAAATATCCTACATACTGGCCTTATCATCTTTATAGATACCAAAAAGAAAGAATAAGTAATGAAAAACAGAAAGAACAACTTTGGCAGAAAAAATCAGATAGATAAAATGAACGTACCTTTAGATAATCACCTATCTTGGGTAAATTTGGTGAAGCCAATGTGTCCAGTGTAAAAGTGAGATCTTCATGAAAGGTTTCAACGTGTTCTTCATTAATGTGTACAGCAACCTGAAAAAATCATTTTTAAACCAGGAAATGAGAAAAAAAAGATTTTATGAAAAAGAAAGTCTGTACTTAGAATTTAATTTAACTGCAATATTAACTGGTCTGTTCTTTACTCCCACCTTAGGAGCTGTTTTTGAAGCTTTTATGGAACTACATGGAGCATAGGTTTTGTCATCTCTTAGTGTAAAAAAACAACAACAAAAACCATATAACTCTCTTCTAACTTCTCTTTGGCTTCTGGACAAGCAGTTCTCTGTCAGCAGTTCCGGCTTCTGCTTGCTGTTGGTGAGGAGTGAGTAGCAATGAACTCCATCTGGTAGTTTGGGTAGACTAAGTAGAAGAAGCATAAACAAGTATGGCCTTGTAACTGACATTAAATCAAAGACTCTTTGTTTCTTCTGGATTAATGACTAATGGCTGCCTCATCAGTGTAGTCTCCCTGGAAAAGCATTTCCAGCTTCCTCACCCTGTCTCTGAGAACTGAATCAGGTGTGAGGCACACCTTTTCTCAAGCGCCAGAACCTCACAAAGGAGCTTTCTGTGTCAAAAGCAACGTCAGCTTCATTTTTTTTTTTTTTTTTTTTTTTTTTTAAATCAGGGTGTGGTGAATCTGGCTCACACACCAATGTAGAGTCAACTCACACTGTGACAGGAAATCTAGAATAGCAGGTTCCAAATTCATTTATATGACTGTATTAGTTTACATGATTATATGAGGGTGGAGCCACGTCTTTTTCTTCTTTGTGTCCTAATGTGTAGCACAGTCAGTGCCTGTAACATACAAACTCTCACTAAATGTATTAAACTTAAGAGTTTTTACCTATTGGTTATTTTCCAAAGCTGCCCTTGCAATTACTCTTGTTTCTGTTCATGACCAATGCAAGTGCTGTGAGAACTGGAACCAAGAGTAGGTAGGCAACAAATATCAACTGGAATGGGATTCTGCATATTTTCCAGGATAAGAATTATTTTATCTTCAAGCTGTTCCATCTAACAAAATGCCATCCTCACTCTCCTCCCATCCTGTCCGGCCTGCTTAGAATTGCTGATTAGTTTCTCTTGATCAAGGTTACTAAGGCAAAAATAACTGATCACTCTGTGCCACTGTTATTTTAACATACAGAGGGTTCACAGCTTGTCCATGCTTCCTGCTATTGCAAGTTCTTAGCAAAACCGAGATCTTTGGCAATAACAGTTTTCACTCACTTTATAAGGTGATCTGGCAAAAACAGATGAAGCCATACTGAATGTTATTACTAGGTACTTACCCGCAGGTTCTCATTCGGATATGTTCTATCCAAATGTTAAGAAATACACCAAACCAGAGGCATTTGAATATTTATTCTGATAAACTTTCAAATATTTCCAGCTGGGGACCTTCACTAGCTATGACTCAGCTTATCCATTGCCTTATTTTTTATGGTTTCACAGTGGCCTCTGACTGGCAGATTAGTCATCTTGTCTTTTTATTAATGAGTGAAAAGGAGGATTTTAAAAATCGAAGGTTAAATCTGAATTGTAAATCCCTTTTAAAAACTAGTTTTAGGGGTGCCTGGCTGGCTCACTCGGTTAAGCATCCGACTTCTGCTCAGGTCATGATCTCATGGTTGGTGAGTTCAAGCCCTGCATTGGGCTCTGTGCTGACAGCTCAGAGCCTGAGGCCTATTTCAGATTCTATGTGTCCTTCTCTCTCTGCCCCTCCATCACTCACGCTGTCTCTCTGTCTCAAAAATAAATAAACATTAAAAAATATTTTTAAGTAAATAAAAAAGTAGATAAAATTAGTTTTATACTCATGCCATACATTGGCAGTCCTAGAAACTTATCAATTTGTAATGGCCGAAATTTCCAGTAACTATACGCAGATAGCATTGACTGGTGACACTACCCATCCCTTTTCCATCATGGAACATTCTAGCATTTTCCATGACCAACAAAACAGGATCAGCTCAAGTTTCAATGATATTACAGATAATTGAGAACTTGGCCATACTGCTAAATATCAAGTTGCCATGAGTACCACCAATGAATCCATCAATGTAAAACATTATACTGTGTTATTGTATTGTTTTAAAACTCTAAACAATTGTCTTTTCACAACAGAGGACAATTCAGGAAGGTTGTGGTCCAGGTGGATTATAAGAGCAAGTCCAGAAACTACTCTATAGAATATATTTATACTATGGCTTTTGATAAAGATGAAGCGACTGTAACAAGTGATTCTTATTTTTGGGAAGAGTAAGAGTTTCAAAGCTTCCCCTTAGAGTTAAAGAAGAAAGGAAAAACGAAAAAGAAATTATTTAGACAGATAGAGGCTTCCAAATTTCTGGAAAGAAAGAACAAATTTTCTGATACAAGAAAGTCAATGAATTCCCTCCAAGGTAAGAAGGAATAGATGCCTAAACATAACATGGTGAAATTGGAGATATCAAAGACAAAAAGAACTTAGAGAAGAGAAGAGTCATTATCATCAAAGGACAGCTCAACTGACAGCTAATTTTTCAGACTTTATTTTTTAGGGCAGTTTTAGGTTCACAGTAAAACTGAGCAAAAAATACAGTGTCTATATATCATTTACTCCTTCACAGCCTTTCCACTATCAATATCCCATCCTAGAGTGGTACACTTTTAAAAATTAACAAACTTACACTGGTTCATTATCACCAAAATTCATAGTTTACAATAACGTTCACTCTTGGTGTGCATTTTATGGCTTTGGACAAATGTATAACGACATGTATCTACCATTATAGTATTACACAGAATACTGAAACTCCTCTGTGCTGCACCTATTCATCCCTCCCCCACCCCCACCATTCAGCCTTGGCAACCACTGATCTTTTTACTGTCTCCATAGTTTTTGCCTTTGCCTCATATGCTTTCAGATTGTCTACAGATTGGACTATGCATTTAAGGTTCTTCCATGTATTTTTATGGCTTGATAGTTCTTTTTTTTTCTTTTTAGCACTGAATACTATTTCACTGTTTGATGTACCAGAGTGTACCTATCTATTCACCTATTGACAGATATCTTGGTTGCTCCCAAGATTCGGCAGCTATGAATAAAACTGCCATAAATATCTGTGTGCTGATATTATGTGGACATAAGTTTTCAACTCACTTGGGTAAATATCAATAAGTACAATTGTTGAATCATATGGTAAGAGTATGTTTAGTTTGTAAGTAACTGCCAAACTGTCTTCCAAAGTGGCTGTACCATTTTGCATTCCCACCAGCAAGGAATGAGAGTTCCTGTTGTGGACATCCTCATCAACAGGTAGCCTTATCAGTGCTCTGGTATCTCACTGCTTTAATTTGCATTTCCCTAATGACATATGACATTGGGCATCTTTTCATATGCTCATTGCCATTTGTTTATCTTCTTTGGTGTGGTGGTTTTTTTTTTAAGGTCTTTTGGTCATATTTTAATTGGGTTGTTTGGTTTGTTATTGTTGACTTTTAATAGTTCATTGTATATTTTGGATAAAAATCTTTTATCAGACACGTTTTTTGCAAATATTTTCTCTCTTAATGAAAAAAAGCATCAACAGATATAAAAGTAAAATTTCTGCATAATGATAAAAGGTTAAATTCATAAGTTTGGAAATGTGCATTTAAAAACATAACTTTAAAATATAGAGAAAAAACTGAAATAACTATAACAAGAAATTGAAATCTACTATTATGGTATGATATTGTAATATAGTCTCTTGGCAAACAATATCTCAAAAAAGTTAAAAAGGAAAACAAACCAAAAAAATCAGTTGGAACACAGAAGATCCTAGGCAATATATCAGCAAGCTTGAACGTGTGTGTCTGTGTGTGTATGTGTGTGTGTGTATACACACTTGCCAATTAGAGAACACACACACACACACACATATCTGCACTTGCCAATTAGTGAATACACCTTTTTTTCAAGCATACAAGAAATATCTAGGAGACTAACCACATACTAAGCTATAAAGTAAATCTTAACAAATTAAAAAAAGTATCATTTATTATTCTTTTATCATAATATAATTAGATTAGAAACCAATAACAAAATAAGTAGAAGCCACAACAGTTTGGGAATTTTAAAATATACTAAAAATCCAAGTAACTCATAAGTAAAAGGGGAACATAAAAGAATAAAAAAAGTGAGACTTAGAACACACAAAATGATAGTATTACAGCACTTAGAGAAGTATTTATAGCCCTAATTCCTTATATGAGAAAAGAAAAAAGATAAAAAATTAATGAGCCTAGCACTCGGCTAGGCTAAGTGCCTTTTCCTAAGAAATTAGGAAAAGATCAGCAAAACAGACTCAAGGAAAGCAGAAGTAATAAAGGCAAGAGCAGAAATAAATGAAATAAAAAGTAAATATACAATAGAATAAATTAAAAACCCAGGTATTGGTCTTTGAGTGAATAATTAAAATGAAAAACAAAAACAAAAACAAAAAAAACTCTAGCAAGTTTAGATCATGAGAAAAATCCAGAAAGGACAAACAAAATCACAAACAAGGGGGAATTACTTTAGATGCAGAAGAAATTAAAATATAGAATGATTATGTAATTATTCACTCATGGTAGTAAATTTGAAAAAATACAACAAAGACCTAGAAAAACATGACTAGAAAAACTAATTCAAGAAAAGAATTTAGGTTGCCTGGGTGGTTCAGTTGGCTAAGCATCCAGTTTCAACCCATATCATCATGGTTTGTGAGTTCGAGCCCCATGTCAGGCTCTGTGCTGACAGCTCAGAGACTGGAGCCTGCTTCAGATCCTGTCTCCCTCTCTCTGCCCTCTCTTGCTCATGCTCTGCCTCTCTCTCAAAAATAAATACACATTAAAAACCTCTTTCTTTCAAGAAAAAAAAAAGAATTTAGGGGGGGTCTTGGGTGGCTCCGTCGGTTAGGCATCCAACTCTTGATTTCAGCTCAGGTTATGATCCCAGGGTCGTGGGATCAAGCTCCACATCCGGCTCTGTGCTGGTGGCACAGAACCAGCTTGGGATTCTC